AGAAGTGCAGCAGCCGAGACATAAACTGGCACCCATATGGGATGCCAGCACTGCAGGTGGAGGATTAGCCTACTGTGCCACAGCGCCGGCCCCAGAAACTGTCCTAAAAGCTCTTTTTTTTTTTTTACAGCCCAATTGAGATAAAATTACATACCATAAAATAGCAGCAAGTGTATCCTACAGAAACATTTGCACCATGATGTATGTCCATTAGACATTCACAATAACAATGTATATAATGAAAAACTGGAAATTACCTAAATGTCCACTATAGTAGAATGCATAGTATATTTTATTTAATTGCTGGATTACTATATAGAAATGAACAAGGATAACAATGTAAATATCAATGTTGATGAGCTTCAAAAACACAAAGATGATTTCAACAGCAGTTGTCAGAAGATCAAATCTTACAAATTTGAAAGCATGATTTTGGGTTAATTTTCCCATAAAAATAAATTAAGAATTACCAGAAAATGTGAGTACTGGTTTACCTCTTGGGTGGATGGTGACTGCTTGGATGTTTATTTTATTACTAAAAAACTAAACTGTGCGCACCTTTGTTCTGTATATGTAATAGGATCAAAAGGAAAGTTACAAAAGTTAGTTTTGGGGCTGGCATTGTGGTGCAGCAGGTTAAAGCCCTGGCCTGAAGTGCTGGCATCCCATGTGGGCACCGGTTCTAGTCCTGGCTGCTCCTCTTCCAATCCAGCTCTCTGCTATGGCCTGGGAAAGCAATAGAAGATGGCCCAAGTCCGTGGGCCCCTGCACCCATGTGGGAGACCGGGAGGAAGCTCCTGGCTCCTGGTTCTGGATGGGCCGTTGCAGCCATCTGGGGAGTGAACCAGCAGATGGAAGACCTCTCTCTCTCTCTCTCTCTCTGCCTCTCTCTGTAACTCTGTCTTTCAAATAATTTTTTTTTTTAAAGAAAGAATAGATTGTTATTTGCTGTTGTCAAGACAGAAGAAGAGGCCTGTTAAGGTCCCAGCAGCACTGTGGCTCTCGACCTTGGCTGTACCGTGGATCCTGCAGCCGCAGCAGCAGGAAGCAGATTGTGAGAGTTGTGCGCTTCACCCAGAACAGTCGTTTTCCACAGTGCCCACACGAGAGACTGCCACAGTGGTTCTGGAATACGAACATCTTCTGCAGAGGAAGACCAGGAGCTGGGAGGGTGCAGACAAGGGCAGTCCTACAGCACAGAGTCAGATCCTACCCAGGCACGGAACTTCCCTACAATCAGCACATCGAGTCACTGCTACTCTTGTAGTAACAGGATTCCTAGAGTATATATATTTTTCTATGCATTTCCCATTTTTCTTCTTTTCTAAATGGGATGTTTCTTGAAAAATTTATTTGTTTGAGAGAAGAAAACTCCCCTGAGCCGAATCACTCCTCATATGCCCACAATGACCCTGGGCCAGCCTGGGGCTGAAGCTGAGGGCCAATCTAGGTCTCTAAATGGGAGTTTTTCTTGCAATTACTCTTCCCTGTCACCATAATGCTATTTATGGGAGCGGCACACCTCTCTTGTCTTTCAGCTACCAACTGCCGAACCATTAAGAAGGAGTGATAAAGAAGACTGCAGAGATGCTAAACTCCAGGCTGTGAGATTCTGGGTTTGCCTTCTTCCTTAGGGGTCTGATGAATGAATACATCTGAGTGACATTTCCACGTGGGAAGAAGGCACGGACACGTGCATGGATGTATGGATATTAAATGGTTTAAGGGTGAGCTCTAGCAGACCCTTTGGCTAACCAAATACGTCTTTTTGACCCCAGACACATCCCTAACCCTCTCCTTGGTCATTCCCATCATACAGCCTGGAAACCTGAGTGCTACACTTGCCTTCCCAGCCATCTTTACACCTAGCAGCCAGGGGTTTGGTGACACAGTTCCAGTGAATGACACAAAAGGGAAAATCTTTTGCAGAGGGTTTCTAGGAAGATTCTTTCTTTCTTGATGAAATGAAAAGCTCCTTTTCCTCTTCTTGAATTTGGTTGTCATCCCTGGAGATGTGACAGCTCTTCAACCATGCTCTGAACCAATGCCAGCATCTGCCCACAACCACTCTACTTTAGGGTAACAAAAATATAAACTATGAGTTTGATGATTTGGTTGTTTGCAGAAAAAAGCATTCCTAGCATACATCACTGCAAAACACTGGTAATTCTGGTCTCAAGTCTTATGAGGATTAAATATGCAAAATATTCAACCTTCCCTAGGCAATTTTCATGTCCCTCTGCCTGTTCTACTTTCTAGATCAATTTAGCTACACTGGGAGGGAGATTATACCATTTATAAAAATTTGAAGTTTTACTTGCTTTTCATTTTATTTGAAAGTGAGGGAGGGAGGGGGAGAGAAGGGGAGAGAAATGGGAAGAGAGAGAGAGAGAGAGAGAGAGAGAGAGACTTCATGTGCTGGTTTACTCCCCATACAGTCACAGCAGTCAGGCTGGGCCAGGTTGGAGCCGGTAGCCCAGAACTCAGTCTGGATCTTCCATTTTGTGGGGGAGGGACTCAAATATTTGAGCCACCACCTGCTGCCTCCCAGCGTGCACATTAGCAGGAAGCTGGTTGGGAAGCAGAGTCGCCCAGACTCCAACCAGGCGCTCCACTGATATGGATGCTGGTGTCCTAAGCAGTGACTTAACTGCTGTGCCAAACACTCACCTCACCTCTAGTTACACCTTCTCATTAGGGCAGAGGTCGGAACCATGTATAGTATTAGCGAAAATGTCCATTGTACATATAAGGTTAGGATAACGTTTTCTAGTTTGTGCTACACATTTATTTGTCATGTCCAATGTTTCTGTTAACTTCTCTGGTCAGAAGTGTTTGCCACTCCAGCATCGTCCTGCAAGTGTCTAAAATAAGCCTATTTTAATTATCTCCCTCTAGATTCATTAAATTATACTTGTCTACCCAGGTATTCCCTGGCCACTTTTTTGTAAGCTCATATCACCTGGCATTTTCTGCTATTTATCATCGCTAGTTTAGCTACTGCCCAAAGCAGGGCTAGGTGCTCATAAAGAGGTAAAACTGAGGGCAGGCGTTTTGTGCAACAGTTAAGTTGCCGCCTGGGACATCCACAGCCCACACTGTAGTGCCTGGGTTTGAATCCTTGCTACTCTGCTTTGGATTCTGCTTTCTGTCAACATGTACCCGGGAGGCAGAAAGTGATGGCTCCCCGCCACTCATTCAGGAGACTCTGACTGAATACCAGTTTCTTGGCTTTGGCACAGCCCTAGCTGATGCACGTAGGGTAATAACCCCATGATGGAAGATGTCTGTCTCTGCCTTTTAAATAAAAATGAAAGCAGAGGGGCCAGCGCTGTGGCGCAGCGGGTTAAAGCCCTGGCCTGAAATGCCGGCATCCCATATGGGCTCTGGTTCTAGTCCTGGCTGCTCCACTTCCAATCCAGCTCTCTGCTATGGCCTGGGAAAGCAGTAGAGGATGGCCAAGTCTTTGGGCCCCTGCATCCACGTGGGAGACCGGAGGAAGCTCCTGGCTCCTGGCTTCGGATTAGCACAGCTCCAGCTGTTGCAGCCATCTGGGGAGTGAACCATTGGATGGAAGACCTCTCTCTCTGTCTCTACCTCTGTCTGTAACGCTTTCAAATAAACAAAATAAAAACATCTCTAAAAAAAAAATGAAAGTAGGTAAATTAAACATAAGAGGTAACTCTGGCAAACCTCAGATGGAATCGAAGAAAGTACTGAGCCACGTACTTTCTTGAACCCACTTTCAAGTCCACTTTTTAGCCTTAAAAAGCCTGTATAAAAGCAAATATCCTAGGGCTGGTGTCAAGGCACAGTGGGTTAAGCTGCCACCTACAATGCCTACATCCCATATGAGTGCAGGTTTGTGTCCAAGCTGCTCCACTTCCCACCTAGCTCCCTGCTAATGCTCCTGAGAAAGCAGCAGGAGATGGTCCAAGCGCTCAGGCCCCTGCCACCCATGTGGAAGACCCAGATGAAGCTCCTGGCTCCTGGCTTCAGCCTGACCCAGCCCTGGCCCTTGTAGACATTTGTGGGACTGAAGCAGCGGATGGAAGATCTCTTTCTCTCTCTCTCCCTTTCTCTGTTAACTCTGCCTTTCAAACAAATAAATACATCGAAAAAATTGTAAATGTTTCTGAAGACTTCTTGCTAAACGGTTAAACTCTGGTGGAGGGCAGCTGACAAAAGTAGAGAGGAAGTCAGAGGGGAATGGGACCTGCGTGAGGGGGAGGGCAGCTCCCCAGGTGGGCGCGCCCTAAGAGTCTGCCTATGTAACATTTCGTTTTGGGGCCTGAAACATACAAAATGTACATGTAAAACAAAATACCGGAGTTCAACGAAGTATTTTTCTAACTGCTTACCTGAGTATTGGCGGATTGCCTACCCCTTGCCAGGTTGCTGAACCGAAGTGTCGCGTGGTGACTCAACTTTGTTAAACAGAGTTTGTGTAGTTTTTCTGAAGATTAAAAAAATAAAAAAAACCAAAAAAAAAAAAAAAACCAACACAACCACCCCAATCATTCACAACTTGTTTCCCCTCAAAGCTGGTATTCAGGAACAAGGTGTTCACTCGCCCAGACGGGACGCTGCCCCTGGACCAGTGTTCAAACGCCACTCTAGAACACATCGTCCTCCGTTACGCGAAGGCGAGCCTCAAACCAACCGGCATCCGCTCAGAGACCCCAACATGTCAAGACCCCAACATTTCAAGAGAAGGGACGAGAGCGCGCAAAGACAGAAGCCGGTTCCCTGACGTCCAGGACACACCCACGTCTGCGCTCCCGGGTCCCAGGTCCCTCCGTGTCGGCGGTGCGGGGACAGGGCCAGGGCGTTGGAAGGCTGCATAGCCACACCGCGTGCCGGGCGGAGCTGCACGTGTCAGGACCGGCGCCCCGCGGGTCGCGCGCGCCGGCCGAGGGCTCCGGGCAGTGCCAATCAGGAAGCTGGGGGCGGGGCTTTGTGCCGAGGGCGAGTCCTGGTGCCGGGGGCGGGGCCTGGTGCCGGGGGCGGGGCCGGCTCCCTGGCCTTGGCTGGCGCGCGGCTCCGGCGCCCTCCGCTTCCGCGCCGGCCATGGAGCGGCTGACGTTGCCCGCGGGCGGCGCGGCGGCGGTGGACGAGTACCTGGAGTACCGGAGGTGAGGGTGCGGCTCTGGGACGAGTGCTTGGGGCGCCGAGGCAGGGCGGGGGGGGTCCCCGGGAATCCGTGCGCGGGCTGCTGAGGGAGGTCCGGCATATTGTCAGGTTTCGGGTCTCCACAGCGAACGTCGTTGCCTTCAGGAGTGGGGCTCCTGCGAGGCCCCTCCGCGCCCCTCCGGGGGGCCTCTGAACCCCAGATGGACGCAGAGGCCGGGTGTGTGGACCACGACGTCTGCCTGCAGGTGGTCGCCCCAGGCTGGCAGGTAGTCACCAGGGGTGCCCGGGCACACGGCTTCCCTGGCTGACTGCACACTTGCGACTGTCCCGCTGGTGTAGTCGTGGGTAAAGCTGAGAAGTGCCTGCAGATGCTGAGCAGGAAAAGCTGGCACGGGGAGCCTGATGGGTCAGACCCCATGCCCGGTTCAGGTGAGTCCTGGGCCCGAACTGGGACCCCCCAGCCCATACCCAGCGCACAGGCAGGTACTGTAGCCTCCAGCTCTCTAGGCTGCCTCCCGCTGCGCCCCCAGCCAGCTGCGAGGCCTTGGTGTCCACCGGTGGCTTCAGTGTGTGTATACCTGCGTGGATGGGGGGCCTCCGGTAGCCTCTTGCCTGGTCCAGAAAGTGTTAAGGGCAGGCCTGGGGGGAGATTATTTTTGCAGGCTTACACAGGAACACTTTCCCTGTTAAAGGGATTATCCGGTCCTTTGTGGGCTTGAGGATTTGAGAAGTGGGGACGGCAGGGACCCCTGCTGTAGGCGTCCCCTGGGAGCTTGTTGGAAAGGTAGTCTGAGGCTCACTCCAGACCTATTAATCTGAACCTGTGTTTGAATAGGATCTTCTGGAGGTTCTGGAAAAACAAACAAACAAACAAAAACAAAAACAGGAAAGTTTGAGCTGTGCTGGTTTGGAGCTTAAATACCAAGTTCCGTTCCGTTCCGTTCCTTTCCTTTCCTTTCCTTTCCTTTCCTTTCCTTTCCTTTCCTTTCCTTTCCTTTCCTTTCCTTTCCTTTTCTTTCTTTCTTTCTTTTTTTTTTGGACAGGCAGAGTGGATAGTGAGAGAGAGAGAGACAGAGAGAAAGGTCTTTCTTTGCCGTTGGTTCACCCTCCAATGGCCACCACGGCTGGCGCGCTGCGGCTGGTGCACCACGCTGATCCGATGGCAGGAGCCAGGTGCTTCTCCTGGTCTCCCATGGGGTGCAGGGCCCAAGCACTTGGGCCATCCTCCACTGCACTCCCTGGGCACAGCAGAGAGCTGGCCTGGAAGAGGGGCAACCAGGACAGAATCTGGCGCCCCGACCGGAACTAGAACCCGGTGTGCTGGCGCCACTAGGTGTAGGATTAGCCTATTGAGCCGCGGCGCCGGCCACCAAGTTTCTTTAAAGGTTTGCACGTATTTTTTTTTTTTTAAAGATTTATTTATTTATGTGAAAGTCAGGGATATACAGAGAGAAGGAGAGGCAGAGAGAGAGAGCGAGCGAGCGAGGTCTTCCACCCGCTGGTTCACTCTCCAATTGGCCGCAACGGCTGGAGCGCCTATCCGAAGCCAGGAGCCAGGAGCTGCTTCTGGGTCTCCCACGCAGGTACAGGGGCCCAAGCACCTGGGCCATCTTCTACTGCTTTCCCAGGCCATAGCAGAGAGCTGGATTGGAAGTGGAGCAGCCAGGTCTTGAACTGGCGCCCATATGGGATGTCGGCACTGCAGGTGGCGGCTTTATCCGCTGCACCATAGGGCCAGCCTCAGATGCAGTTATCTTAACTGCCCATCTAAACCCTCGCTCCCTGAACAACTTATTTTGTACTTTCTTTTCTTTGAGATGCCAACTATATTTTTTTCCTCCATAGAAACAGCAGGGGTTAAATTTTTCTCATAAAACTGTGCTTCTGAGATTAAACAGTTATATACCTGAGTACCTAACAGAGAGATGAGGTTTTGAGCTTGTGGGGACCCACGTTGTGTTTAGGGCCCATGTCAGCTTAAACTCCCGGCCAGGGATGGGGGTCACATGGATATTTTGGGGTTCTGTTTTTAAAGGACGAAATCATTAGAGTATTTAGCAGTTTCGGCTCTGGCTTTTAGTGAGCATGTTTGCTTCAGAATCAAAGGAGAAATTGAGATGAATGTGGTAATCCTCACTGATAAACCTTGGTCCGTACAGCTGGATGTTACAAATTGATTGACTTTCTCATTGATAATTCTCTTTTATATGACAAGTCTGGGGGAGAAAAGACTCCTCTACCATCACGGAGGCACTTACATAATACTAAAAGGCAGGTTAACGAAAGAAAAGCTTACAAATTCATGCAAATTTTATTTGAACTGGGAGCCTTCAGAAAATGAAGATCCAAAAAGAAAAAAAAAAAAAAAACCAGGGAATCCTGTGTGTGTTGTTTTTATGCTATGTCTGAGAGTAGACAGTCATGGAGAACTATGACTGAAGATGGAAGGCATGTGATCCAGTGGTCATAAACTTGGGGAGCTGAGCAAGGCCTGTTTGTTCAGGTTCTTCTCTGTGTCTTGCGGGCTAAGTATGTACCTTTCCTCCATTAAAGGGAAGGTACCACGGGAATGTTTTCTGACTTGTTTCAGCGGAGAAGGGAAGGGGAGGGGGAGGGTGACCTGCTTGTCCCTGTTACTCAGGTGAGGAGCTGCTGTATTTTGGGGAAGCGTGTCATGAACTGCATCCAAAGGAGAAGTTGTATGACCAGTATGTGTACTTTGGCTACCAACATGTACCTAAAGTAAAAAAAAAAAAAAAAAAAAAAAAAAAATCAAAGTTAAGACGGCCTTTCCTTTAACTATGCACCTATAGTGTAATTTGAGGGTTAAGTAATTTTACCCCAGAAAACAAATACTCGAGATTCAAGGAAGCATTTGTTGTTGTTGTAGAATTGTTGGTGATGATGATGGAGGGAAACTTTTTACTCCTGAAGAATATGAAGAATACAAAAGGAAAGTTCTCCCCGGGCGCTTACAGAACAGGTTATTCGTGAGCTGGAGGTCACCAGCAGGAATGGATTGTAAACTTGTTGGCCCAGAAACGCAGTGTTTTTGTACACATAGGTAAGATATTTTGTTGCTGTTTTCTGATGATTAGCAAACAAAAGAACTAGCAAAGCATATCCTCCTACAAAGAACACTGTTAAAAATAAGCCTTTATGTAATACAGCGGCCATTATATAAGGGTCTTTTTTTTTTTCTGAGCTGTGCTTTAAAAATTTCTGTTGTATTCTATTAGAACTCATCATGCTTATTACCTTAAACAACTGTTCTCTTCCCATCAGTTAAAAAAAATATACCGGGGTGGGGGGCAGGGACACCCCTCCTGAAACCCATCTGCAGAAGCATTTCTCCACATTTACTATCTGTCCTTTGAACCTTAACTAACTGCTGGGTGGATATAGCTCTTTCAGCAAATAACAATACAAGCAGACTGTTTTTTTTATTACAAATGATCTTGTTACAAGGAAAGCAGGCAGAGGGAAGGAGGTGCATGAGGCCCCGTCACTGACTGGTGTAGCCTGTGTCTGAGGTTCGCATTTTGCTTTGTGTGTGCTCTGCTTTAAGTTTTACTGTGTCCTCACAGTTGTAGAGGTCACAGTCACCGAATCTAAGGCATGGTTTCAGGCAGCAACCTTGACTTTCTTTCCAAGGGAGCCACTGAATGACAACTACCCTGTTTTGTTGGCAGTTTCTGGGGCTCTTCCTAGGAGGCTCTTTGATGGCTGCTGCTTGGTGACTTGCAGTTTGCCGAAGGTTGGCAGGCAGCTGCCAGGATGAGGGATGCTGTATGTAGACTTTATGCTCACCTGGAAAGGCAACCTCTCTCTAACCTCCTTTTTTTTTTTTAATTTTAAGATTTATTTATTCATTTTAAAGCCAGAGTTACAGAGAGGCAGAGGCAAACAGAGGGAGGTCTTCCATCTGCTGGTTCACTCCTCAAATGGCCGCAATGCCTGGAGCTGGGCCGACCTGAAGCCAGGAGCTAGGAGCTTCTTCCACGTCTCCCATGTGGGTCAGGGGCCCAAGGACTTGGGCCATCTTCTGCTGCTTTCCTTGGCCATTAGCAGGGAGCTGGATCGGAAGTGGAGCAGCTGGGACTTGAACTGGCACTCATATGGGATGCCAGCACTGCAGGTGGCGGCTTTATCTGCTATACCACAGCGCTGGCCGTTCACTCTAACCTTGTGGAGGAATGGAGCACCAGGGATAGCTTAGCATCTTTCTGAATTGAAGAGGGGTTTGGTAAATTTATGGTCCCCTTATAATTTGTGCTTGTGAGAATGCAATGCTGGTTTCTTCACTATCTGTGGTTTATACAGCACGGAACTGACCTTCAAAAACCCAACCCAGCTTTAATGGAGAAGCTGTTCTTTAGTGCTGCTCATTCAGTGGTATCTCTCTCTGTCCAAGGCTGATTCCTCCGCCCCCATTATAAAAGTGGCATGAGGTTTTTAAGGGTACCTCAGAAAATTTGTGGAGGGAAAATGTTGGAGTCTCCACGTGGTGTTTTGTCATACACATCCACACTTTTTTTTTTTTTTTAACAGGCAGAGTGGACAGTGAGAGAGAGACAGAGAGAAAGGTCTTCCTTTGCTGTTGGTTCACCCTCCAATGGCTGCCGCAGCTGGTGTGCTGCGGCCGGCGCACACGCTGATCCGATGGCAGGAGCCAGGTACTTATCCTGGTCTCCCATGGGGTGCAGGGCCCAAGCACTTGGGCCATCCTCCACTGCACTCCCTGGCCACAGCAGAGAGCTGGCCTGGAAGAGGGGCAACCGGGACAGAATCTGGTGCCCTGACTGGGACTAGAACCCGGTATGCCGGCTCTGCTAGGTGGAGGATTAGCCTGTTGAGCCGTGGCGCTGGCCCACACCCACACTTTTATTCAGCCCCCTCACAGAGAAAAGGGAGGACTCTCTGTCCACAGCCAGCTTCTGTGCATCCCTTTTATGTGGCTGTGTAACTGTTTTTCTTTACGTAGTCCATTTGTCAGCAGACACAGGGGTCTGTTTGCTTGGGGTTGCTCCAGTGGGGTTGTGACAGCGAAGGAAGGACAGTAGCGTGGGGAAGTGTAGCTCCCTCCAGAAAGGGCCTCCCTCAGAATCAGTTTGCCAGAGCTTCCCTAGCAAGGGTTTGGAGAGTGTGCAGGATGGAGCAAGGGGTGAAGGGGTGTGGGAGGGCTCTTCCTGCCTGCGTTTTACCTCCAGGGTGTAGAAAAGGGGAAAGTGGGCACACTTCCTGCTCACACAGCATACTTCATGCAGAAATCTGACTCAGGCTGGTTTCTGCAACTTCCCTTGTTTGTGGTGGTCTGGCGTCCTTTGAGTGCAGTGTTCAAGGTAAGCCCTCCGGGTTGGTCCTCTGGGAAGCCCCCTCTGAGAGTGAACTGTTTCATTGTTCCTGTGCAGCCCCTGCCCCGGCCTTGCCTGAATGGCACACTCGTGGCTACATATTTAGTTGTCAATTATGTGTGTGTATAAATCCAGCCACTGTTTTCATGATAATCACAGGAGTGAGTATTACATGTGGTTATAAAGTCATGGCAAATAAGACTTTTTTTAAATAAAGATTTATTTATTTGTTTATTATTTTAAAGATTTTCTTTATTTATTTGAGAGGCAGAGTTACAGACAGAGAGGGAGAGGATGACTGCAACAGCCGGAACTGGGCTGATCTGAAGCCAGGAGCGTGGAGCTTCTTCTGGGCCTCCCATGTAGGTGCAGGGGCCTAAGGACTTGGACTATCCTCCGCTGCTTTCCCAGGCCACAGCAGAGAGCTGGATTGGAAGAGGAGCAGCTGGGACTGCAGGCAGCAACTTTACCTGCTTCGTCACAGTACCAGCCCCCTACAAGACTTTTTTTTTTTTGTCTCTTATCACACTTTATTTTTTAGAAAGGAGAGAAAAAGAGTGTGATGTGTGACATATGGCACACAGTTTCATCACAAATGGAGGTACAGTCCTTCCTTATCAAGTTTCTGTATCATTTGAGAAACTGGGAGGAAACTCAAGGTCTTCCTTCTTTGGAAAATCATAGTATGGGGGCCGTTGCTGTGGTGTAGTGGGTAAAGCCTCTGCCTGCAGTGCTGGCATCCCATATGAGTGCCAGTTCTAGTCTGACTTCCGATCCACCTCTCTGCTATGGCCTGGGAAAGCAGTAGAGGATGACCAAGTCCCTGGGCCCCTGCACCCATGTGGGAGATCCGGAAGAACTTCCTGGCTCCTGGCTTCTTGGCACAACTCCAACCCTTGCAGCCATTTGGAGTGAACCAACGGATGGAAGACTTGTCTCTCTCTGTGTCTCTGTCTCTCTGTAACTCTGCCTTTCAGATAAATAAATAAATAAATAAATCTTTTAAAAAACACCACAGTATGTGAACTCAAATACAGGCACTAGAATGTACAGAAATTCAGGTTTATACACAAGAGTGTCAACTCTGAGGGCAGGTGTCCCCAGGCCTGGTATACAGAAAGCACTACACAGATGTCCCTGGTTAACAAAATGAATGAACATCATTCCTTCACTCAGCCGGGCAGGGCAGGCTGTCACGCAAACACAGGGCTCCCATCTAGTAATAAGACCGGCCTTTTTACCTGAGCGCGTCCAGTGCGTACATCGTGCTGAAGGCCTGGGCCCGCGCTGCTCTGTCAGGAGCTCACGCGTGTCCCCTGCAACAGGAGCAGACCTCCAGGCCAGGACTCCGCTGGCTTTGTGCCCGTGGTCGTACGGAAAGCCGGACGGTGTCCAGCCCGTCCTTCCAGCTCCCTGGGTCAGACTCCAGCGAGGGACGCTCTTGGGACCGCGTGTGGCTACCCCACTCGCTACCTAAGACCTTGTGAGGGAGACACAACCAGGACAGAAGTACGGCTGAGCTGTGCCCTGAGACGCGCCCCAGGCTGCAGGCAGTGGCACTGCGCTTCTCTCGCTCGCTCGCTCGTCACTTACCCCTGAGGACAAAATCAGCCTGCCCACACCGCGAGAATGTTTTACAAGACTCTTCCGGGAGAGAGAAAAACGAACAAGGGAACAGCCACCCAGTCCTGCACAGCTCGCCTGGGCGGCACTGCAGGTGGGGCGGAGGGTGAGAGGGAGGTGCGGGTCTAGAGACTCCCCGGCTGGTCCTTGAGCAGCGGATGCTTCTCCTGGCGTCCGGGGAGGAACGCGGCCCTGGCGTGGCCCTGGCCGACATTCAGGCCTCCACCGCCGGCCGTGCTCCTAGCGCTGTTCTCTATCTGTTTGTATTCCTTGTGTTTTTGTACACATAGAGGGTAAGCACCATGACCCACAGGGCCAGGCAGCTAGCGGTGATCATGACCCTGTTTGCCACTCAGGGGTGACAGTAACACGTCGTCGTCCACTGGGTGCCCAGAACCATTGCCCTAGTGCCTCAGCCAGCTCTGGTGTCGACTGTGCCAATCCCTTTACAAGACTTTAATACCCGCATGTAGTCTAGTAGTCCAGTGGTGGCCACAGCTCGGCTGGGTGGGAGCCTCAGGGGCAGGCCGGGTGGAAGAGCAGGTTAGGCAAAGGGGAAAAGTATAGTTTTGGCTCTTCCCTTGCTTTAATCAAGTCTACCTCTTAAGATTCTGTGAAAGATTTTATTTGAAGAAAGGATTTCATTAATAAAAAGTGTAAGAACTATTCTCTAGCTATTTACTTACACAATCCTCATGTTCATATATGGATATATATTTGCTATTAAAGGTACTGTTAATACTCTCTTTACCCAGAAAGCTTTTTCTATACGTAGAATTATTTTCTTAGAGTCTATTTTCTTTTTTTTAACATTGTCTTTTTTTTTTTTTAAAGATTTTTTATTTATTTATTTGACAAGTAGAGCTACAGACAGTGAGAGCGAGAGACAGAGAGAAAGGTCTTCCTTCTGTTGGTTCACCCCCCAAATGGCCGCTATGGCCAGAGCTATGCTGATCTGAAGTCAGGAGCCAGGTGCCTCTTCCTGGTCTCCCATGCGGGTACAGGGCCCAAGCACTTGGGCCATCCTCCACTGCCTTCTCGGGCCACAGCAGAGAGCTGGACTGGAAGAGGAGCAACCAGGACTAGAACCTGGCGCCTATGTGGGATTCCGGCACCGAAGGTGGAGGATTAACCAAGTGAGCCACGGTGCCAGCCCTTAGAATCTATTTTCTACAATGGACTTTCTGGGTTAACAGATACCTATTTTGTAGATTTATTTATTTTTTTATTTTTAAAGATTTATTTATTTATTTGAAAGTCAGAGTTACACAGAAAGAGGAGAGAGAGAAGTCTTCAATCTGCTGGTTCAGTCCCCAGATGGCCACAACGGCCGAAACTACGCCGATCCAAAGCCAGGAGCCAGAAGCTTCTTCCAGGTCTCCCATGTGAGTGCAGGGGCCCAAGGACTTGGGCCATCTTCTACTGCTTTCCCAGGCCACAGCAGAGAGCTGGATTGGAAGTGGAGCATCCAGGTCTCAAACCATCCCATAGTGGATGCTGGCACTTCAGGCCATGGCGTTAACCTGCTCTGCCACAGCGCTGGACCCAGATTGATTTATTTATTTCAAAGGCAGAGTGACAGAGTTCTTCCATTTGTTGTTTTTCGCTCCCTGAAAGGCCTCGGTAGCGAGGGCATGGGCCAGGCTGAAGCCAGGAGCCATGAGTTCCATCCAGGTTTCCCACATGGGTGACAGAGACCCAAGTACTTGAGCCATCAACAGCTGCCTCTCCAGGTGCATTAGCCTGACCTGGCTTGTAAGTGGGATAACCAGGACTTGAACCAGTACTTCAGTAAGGGATGTGGGTGATCTAAGTGGCAGCTTAACCACTGTGCCATAAAACCAGCTCCAAAAGATGGGCTTTTTTTTTTTTTTTTTCAGGCAGAGTGGATAGTGAGAGAGACAGAGAGAAAGATCTTCCTTTTGCCGTTGGTTCACCCTCCAATGGCTGCCACGGCTGGCGCACCGCACTGATCCGAAGGCAGGAGCCAGGTGCTTCTCCTGGTCTCCCATGGGGTGCAGGGCCCAAGCACTTGGGCCATCCTCCACTGCCTTCCTGGGCCACAGCAGAGAGCTGGACTGGAAGAGGGGCAACCGGGAAAGAGTCCGGTGTCCCGACCGGGACTAGAACCCGGTGTGCCGGCGCCGCTAGGTGGAGGATTAGCCTATTGAGCCACAGCGCCGGCCAAGATGGGCCTTTTAAATTTTATCAAGACTTTTTTTTTTCTCTTACCACACTTTATTATTTAGAAAGGAGAGAAAGAGTATGATGTGTGACATACGGCAGACGGTTTCACCACAAATGGAGGTACAGTCCTTCCTGATCAAGTTTCTATATCATTTGAGAAACTGGTAGGAAACCCAAGGTCTTCCTTCTTTGTAAACCATAGTATGGGGCTGTTGCTGTGGCGTAGTGGGTGAAGCTGCTGCTTGTAGTGCCGGCATCCCACATGGGTGCAGGTTCGAGTCCCAGCTGCTCCACTTCCGATCCAGCTCTCTTCTATGGCCTGGGAAAGCAGTGGAGGATGGCCCAGGCCCTTGGGCCCCTGCACCCATGTGGGAGACCTGGAGGAAGCTCCTGGCTCCTGGCTTCAGATCAGCTCAGCTCTGGCTGTTGCAGCCAATTGGAGAGTGAACCAGAGGATGGAAGACCTCTCTCTCTCTCTCTCTCTCTGCCTCTTCTCCCTCTGTGTAACTCTGATTTTCAAGTAAAAAACACATAAACCTTAAAAAAAAAGAAAAATGGTATCTCATAGTTTTTACTATGCATTTCCTAGATATTGAAATGCATAGATATTGCATTTTAATATTAAGAACAATGATAAATTTTGTTATTTTATTGTATAGCACCTTATGAGAAGAAACCAAAAAGCCTATTTAAAAATGTTATTTACAGTCTCCTAAAGAGTATGCTATTAAAATATCAATTTATTTTGAAGTTGAAAATAAAATTTTATTAAAATAAAATATTTATTTGGTTTACTTAAATTTCAAATAGCAAGCCTATAGAAGTAAATTTACGTAATGCACTTTGATAATAATTTTTTTTCAGGAATGAACTTGACTTTATTATACAAAGTAGTACAGCAGATCAGAGAAATTTCTTTTTTTTTAAACTTTTATTTAGTAAATATAAATTTCCAAAGTGCAGTTTATGGATTACAATGGCTTTTTCCTCCTCATAACTTCCCTCCCACCCGCACCCCCCCATCTCCCACTCCCTCTCCCATTCCATTCACATCAAGATTCATTTTCAATTATCTTTATATACAGAAGATCGATTTAGTATATATTAAGTAAAGATTTCATCAGTTTGCACCCACACAGAACATAAAGTGTAAAATACTGTTTCAGTAGTAGTTATAGCGTTAATTCACATTAGACAACACATTAAGGACAGAGATCCTACATGAGGAGTAAGTGCACAGTGACTCCTGTTGTTGACTTAACAATTTGACACTCTTGTTTATGGCGTCAGTAATCTCCCTAGGCTCTAGTCATGAGTTTCCAAGGCTATGGAAGCCTTTTGAGTTTGCTGACTCCGATCTTATTTAGACAAGGTCATAGTCAAAGTGGAAGTTCTCTCCTCCCTTCAGAGAAAGGTACCTCCTTCTTTCATGGCCCGTTTTTTCTACTGGGATCTCACTTGGAGAGAGCTTTCATTTAGGTGTTTTTTTTTTGTTTTGTTTTTTTTTGTTTTTTTGTTTTTTTTTCTCGCCAGAGTGTCTTGGCTTTCCATGCCTAAAATACTCTCATGGGCTCTGCAACCAGATCCGAATGCCTTAAGGGCTGATTCTGAGGCCAGAGTGCTGTTTAGGACATCTGCCATTCTATGAGTCTGCTGTGTATCCTGCTTCCCATGTTGGATCGTTCTCTTCCTTTTTTATTCTATCAGTTAGTATTTGCAGACACTAGTCTTGTTTGTGTGATCCCTTTGACTCTTAGACCTATCATTATGATCTATTGTGACCTGAAATTGATCACTCGGACTAGTGAGATGGCAAGGTACATGCCACCTTGATGGGATTGTATTGGAATCCCCTGGCACATTTCTAACTCCACCATTTGGGGCAAGTCCTATTGAGCATGTCCCAAATTGTACATCTCCTCCCTCTCTTATTCCCACTCTTATATTTAACAGGGATCATTTTTCAATTAAATTGAAACACCTAAGAATAATTGTGTGTTAATTATAGAGTTCAACCAATAGTATTAATGAGAACAAAAAAAATACTAAAAGGGATAAAGTATTAAATTGTACATCAACAGTCAGGACAAGGGCTGATCAAGTCACTGTTTCTCATAGTGTCCCTTTCACTTCAGGTTTCCTTTTTTGTGCTTGGTTGTCACCGATCAGGGAGAACATATGATATTTGTCCCTTTGGGACTGGCTTATTTCACTCAGCATGATGTGTTCCAGATTCCTCCATTTTGTTACAAATGACTGGATTTCATTGTTTTTATGAAGAACTTTTTTATACTCTGTGCTTCTGTGTGAGTACTTGAAAAAGTTCATGGAAAATGAAATTAAAAGATATCTATTAAAGTTTTGAAGTCTATGCACAAATGTTTCATGGTCTGTATTTTCTGTGAACTTTTTGAAGACTCCTTGTATTAAGGGAATTATATATTTCTTTATATTGCTATGAATTTTTTTAAATAAAAATCTGCAAGAATGAAGATTTTCTGTGTCCAAGGCAACACAGCTGACAGAGATGTTGCATGCTCCAGGGTTTATCTCCACGTTGCTAACAAGAACAAAAAGAAGAAATTAAAGATTCATACTTGGATTTAATAGAATAGAAATTGTAATTTTTGGCAATGCTTGCATTGCTTTTTATGTTTCTATTTTTTTTTAAGGTATAAGCAACATAAAACTGACTTTGAAAAGCTTCCGCAGCAGCGCCCCATTGAGCTGCCCTGCCGGGTGGCCGGCTGCCGCTGCAGGGCGTTCCTCTACGTCCCTTTAAACGGTACCCAGCCAATTCGCTGCCGGTGCAAACACTATGCCGATCAACACAGCGCTGCTCCTGGCTTCACGTGCAATGCATGTGAGTGTATATATATATATGCCCTACTTTCTTTCTTTCTTTTTTTTTTTTTTTTGACAGAGTTAGACAGTGACAGAGAGAAAGGTCTTCCTTCCGTTGGTTCACCCCCCGGATGGCTGCTACGGCCAGCGCTGTGCTGATCCGAAGTCAGGAGCCAGGTGCCTCTTCCTGGTCTCCTACACGGGTGCAGGGCCCAAGCACTTGGGCCATCCTCCACTGCCTTCCTGGCCACAGCAGAGAGCTGGACTGGAAGAGGAGCAACCGGGACAGAACCTGGGGTGCCGGCGCCGCAGGCGGAGGATTAGCCTAGTGAGCTTCGGTGCAGGCCTATATACCCTATTTTCTTTATCCAGTCATCAGTTGATGGATATCTGGGTTGATTCTATAGCTTAGCTATTGTGAATTGAGCTGCTGTAATCATGGGGATATAGACAATGTTCAAATGCTGATTTCATGCCTTTAGGGTATATTCCCAGGCGTGGGATGGCTGATTGATTGATAGATTGATTTTCAGATTTCTGAGGAGTCTCTAAACTGTCTTGCATTGTGGTTGTACTAGCAGTAGAAGTAGGAACAGGGGCCAGGCGGGTACTCAGGGATTGGAGGTAACAGTCAGAGGGGCCAGGGAATATAGATTTTACTGACTTTGGCCAAGCTCAGTGTTTTTCGTGTAGACAGTTTAGTATCCATGTTTTTAGGAGTTTGGCCTGGTGTTTAGCCTAGTGATTAAGATATCTGTGTCCCCCATCAGACTTTCTGGGCTCCACTGCCAGGTTCGGCTCCTGATTCCAGCTTCCTGCTGTCGTAGGCTCTGGTAGGACGTGGGGTTGGCTGAAGTAATTGGGTTTCCACACCCACGTGGGAGACCTGGATTGAGTTCCTAGCTCTGGCTCCTGGCTTTGGCCCTAGTTCAGTCCCAGCCCTGGCCATTGAGACATTTGCAGAGTGAACTAGCAAAAGGAAACTCTCTATCTCGCAAATAAATAAATATAATTTTAAAATAACGTGTAAGTGTTTAATCTTTCTGCATCTTGATTCAGGTTCCAAGTGTTCAGGATTCCACAGCTGCTTTACCTGTGCTTGTGGTCAACCTGCATATGCCCATGACACAGTGGTGGAGACTAAGCAAGAAAGATTGGCCCAGGGAAAGCCTGTGGGACAAGATGTTCCTTATGCAGCAATGGGAGGACTAACTGGTTTCAGCTCACTGGCAGAAGGCTACATGCGATTGGATGACAGTGGGATTGGTAAGTGATGATGGATGCACTATGAATGTGTGTTGTTTCACAATAGCAAACCCTTCTGTTTGTTAGCACTTTATATTTGTCATGGTTTTTCATCAAATATTCATTTTTATTCTTTTTTTTTAAATTTTTATTTATTTATTTGAAAATCAGAGTTGCACAGAGAGAGAAGAGGCAGAGAGAGAGAGAGAGGGTTTCTGTCCTCTGGTTTACTCCCCAATTGACTGCAACGGCTGGAGCTGTGCTGATTCAAAGCCAGGAGCCAGGAGCTTCTTCCAGGTCTCCCACACGGGTGCAGGGGCCCAAGGACTTGGACCATCCTTAACTGCTTTCCCAGGCCATAGCAGAGAGCTGGATCAGAAGAGGAGCAGCCGGAACTAGAACTGGCATCCATATGGGATCCAGTACTGCAGGTGGCGACTTTACCCATTGCGCCACAGCACCGGCCCGCCCATTTTATTCTTAAAAAAGGTTTATTGCCACTATATAACCTATTGTTATTAGAGAAAATTTAGAAAAGACAGAGGAAAAGACTATTACTATCCTAATAGTTGGACTCAAATCCCAGTCTACATACCTTGTCTGTAATAACTCAGTAATATTTCTTTTATTTGGTGAGATACAGTTTATGTGTTATCCTATTTTATACAGTATTTGCTAGTATAACTACTTTATTTTGGAAACACAAAGGTATATATTCATGTAAAAATACATGCACATACTTATGTATATCTGTAGTCATATCCATAACAAGGTGTGTCTGTATATATATGTACACAAATATATCTTCTTGCATGCATATAAACCATAAAGAACATAGGGAAAAGTTTGATAGCATGTATCCCAAACTATTGGCAACAGCTGTACCTTTCTGAGAGTTGACTGGGGTTAGGGAGTTGACATTCAGATTTTTTTTACAACAAACATGTTTTTTGTCTTATTTATTAAAAATTATTTAAAATATGGGGGTGGGCATATGGTGCAGGAGTTAAGATGTCGCTTGGGAGGGCTGGTGTTGTGGCATAGTGGGTAAAGTTGCTGCTTGCAATGCTGGCACCTCATATGGGCAGTGGTTCGAGTCTCAGCTGCTCTGCTTCCCATCTAGCTCCCTGCTAATGGCCCTGGAAAAGCAACAGAAGATGGCCCAAGTGCTTGGGCCCCTGCCACCAACATGGAAGACTTGGAAGAAGCTCCTGGGTCTTGGCTCCTGGCTTCAGCCTGGCCCAGCCCTGGCCATTGTTGTCATCTGAACCAGCAGAGGGAAGATCTCTCTCTCTCTCTCTCTCTCTCTCTGTAATTGTGACTCTGGCTTTCAAATAAATACATCTTTTTTTTTTTTTTTTTTTAAGCTATTGCTTGGAGCACCTGCATCCTGTGCAAGAGTGCTGTGGTTCAAGTCCCACCTACTTTGCTTCTGCTACAGCTTCCTGTTGATGGGTGCCTTGGGAGACAGCAGACGATAGCTCAAGTACTAGGGCCCCAGCTGTTGCAGGCACCTGGGGAGTGACGGAAGATCTCTCTGTTTCCTTACTAGGGTGCACGTTAACAGGAAGTTGGAATCAGAAGCGGAGCCAGGGTTCAAACCCAGGGATACCAACGTGGGGTGTGGCATCCAAAGCAGGCATCCCAAGTGGCATCTTTTTTTTTTTTTTTTGAAAGGCAGAGTTAGAAAGAGGGAGAGACCAAGATCTTCCATCTACTGGTTCACTCGCAAATGGCTGCAACGGCCAGGACTGGGCCAGGTCGAAGCCAGAAGCCTGAAACTCCATCTGAGTCTCCCTCACGGGTAGCAGGGGCCCAAGCATTTGGGGCCATCTTCTGCTGCTTCTAACCAGTGCCCATATAGGATGCTGGCAGTGCAGGTGGTGGGGTTTAACCCGGTGCACCATAATGCTGACTCCCCAAGTGGCATCTTAGCTGCTGCACCAAGTGCCTGCCCCCATTACCAAGTGCCTGCCCCCATTATAAACAATCTTGCAGAGAAAAGCCTTGTACTTGCCTCCTGGTATCCTTGGTAGTTTGAAATATTGTCTCCATTTCTTTGTCTACTATGTAACTACGTGGAATTCTGAACTTATCTTTCTGGAAGTCTTGTACAATTCTTAATTAAGTTTATTTCTATTTAATCTCTTTCTATTTTTAAGGGCTTTTTTTTTTTTTTTTTTTTAGAGATTTATTCGTTTATTTGAAAGGCAGAGTTATGTAGAGGCAGAGGCAGAGAGAGAGAGAAAAAGAGGTCTTCCAACTGCTGGTTCACTCTCCAAATAGCTGCAATGGCTGGAGTTGGGCCTATCCAAAGCCAGGTCTCCCACATGGGTGCAGTGGCCCAAGAACTTCAGCCATCTTTCACTGCTTTCCCAGGCACATTAGCAGAGAGCTGGATGGGAAGTAGAGCAATTGGGACTGGAACTGGTGTTCTGATCTGGCACTGCAGGTGGCGGCTTTACCTGCTGCGCAACTGTGCATGTCCCTAAATTTAATCTCCTAAAAAATTAGGTATCGTACATTATTTTTTGTGATTTTTTTGGTATAAAAAAGCAAATGTTTTCTGTTGCTTTTGTTACCAGTCTTAATCTTAGTTTTTGTAATAATTTTTTTTTACAGATAATGACATTTTTATCTCTTTGCAGTATTTATGGCTCATCTTACTTTTGACTAATCAAAATAGTGCTTTCAGAACAGTGCTAAGTAGTAGTGTTGGTAGCTGGCATCCTTGCCTCTTTGTGACTTTTGGTGTCTTATCAGTTAAGTATCTTTAAGGTATAAAGAAAGAATATCTCTGCCTTTTGGCCCCTGAGGGGAGATGGGGTGAAGGCAGGTGAGAGTGAGGAGAGGGAAAGGAAGATGATTTGGTCCTGACTTCAGGGGAAGTAGGGAATGGGGCACAGGGACTGCTCTGTTGAGCACGCACAGTCCGTCAGGTGACTCTGACTGGAGTTCGATTCCTTTATGGTACAGGAGTCTCTGATTCCTAGCTCTCTGGGGTGCTTGGAAGGCATTGGAACAGCTAAGAGGCAGCAGGCCTGCCCTTGCATCTGTCATAGTAGGGGCCAAGATGACCCCAGAGCAGAGCAGAGCTGAGGGATTCAGGGGAGGAAGTGGCAGGTATTGAGGGGTCTTGTCCTTGAGAGGGCAAGTATGAGTTCCTGTAAGCTGGGGCCAGCCGTGAGCCGAGCTGAGCAGCTCATGGGGTGACCTGTGCCCTTCTTGTATAGCCCCCCTGCCATGTGGGCGAGGGGCGGGGGGTAAGGAGGAGACAGGGATTGCCCACACTGTTGCCACTGTGTCTCCACGGTAAGGCAGGTTCACCTGCATGGGGTGTGGTGTTTGTGAAGAGGGTGGAACTGTTTCTCTGCAGTTTCAGTCTTTTGGGCCTGGGAGTCAGTGTATTTAGCAGTTGCTGTTTGTGGTTTGTGGTTTGGGGTTGTGGATGTGCCCTCATTTTATCGAAGAAGAAACTTTCCATCTTTGTGTTTAGTTGGTTTCCTAGCAAGGAACAGATTAGAAGTGCAATCATTCCACCTCTTCGCCCAGAGGGGCCTGCCAGTGCTTTGCTCTAGATTGTGTTGTGTAACTCCGGGGTCTGTGCTGGTTTGGCACTTCTTTGCTGAGATGCACTTACATCATTGCGTGGTATTTTTTCCACTGTGATAAAGGTCTGTGAGAAATGTGTTGAGAAAGGCAAAAGCACTTTTTACCCTTTTGCCTTTACTTCATAGGGCAGCTAAAAATCTAAATAAAAGTTTCTATTATATGAAGGATTTTCCTGCTGGCTCTGTTGCAGTTGAAATTTATTTCACATTAGAAATAAGACCTAGTTTGTATCCTAATACATAGAGATTGAATTTTCATCCTCTGTTTATTTTGTTCCCAGGCGCACCTTCAGTTGAATTTTTAGATTCTCCCATTACGGCTGCAGACCACCCGTTTCTAAAAGCATTCCAAGCACCGTCCGGCTCTTCTCCAGAAACACTGGCAGATGGTACTGAAATTAAACTGAGAAATACTTTTGTGTGTCAGAAATGTGAATATAAAACTTTGGTTTGTTTTCTAGGCTTCTGTCTTTATTACTATAATTTGACTTCAAGTAAATCTTTCATTTTACTTTCCTCTATAGTGACGAGGCACTGAGAAAATGCAAGCAGCTTCTTTTTATATTGGAAAAAGTTGCTAAATCTGAGAATTGTTACAGTCCTGATAATACTATAATTTAAGTTGTTATTTAAATTTTTTTTGAGAGAATCATGTCTCTCATGTAGGTGGCAAGAAGCCAATTACCTGGGCCGTCCCTGCTGCCTCCCAGGGTCTGCATTAGTAGGAAGCTGGACTCAGGAGCAGAGCTGGGAATCAAATCCAGGCACTCCCGTGTGGAATGTGCGTGTCTTAACCACAAAACCAAAAGCCTGCCCCTATAATTTGAGGTTTTAAGCATTTTTCTGGTACGTTATTGTAGTGTTAGAATAAGAGGGCTCCCTTGTGGAAGGGTTGCCTGGATCCTTTGGGTTCTCTTAAAGTGATGTAATCCAGTGATAACCATAGCTTAGCAGGGTTTTATTATTTATAAAGTAAGAACAAAGAGAATTTCTCATTTTAAAAAAAAGATGTATTTATTTATTTGAAAGGCAGAGTTACAGAGAGGGATAGGCAGAGGCAGGGAGATAAGTTTTCCATCTACTAGTTCACTCCTCACGTGGCCACAGTGGCCGAGGCTGGCCAGAGGGAAACCAGGAGCCAGGAGCTTCTTCCATGTCTCTCACATAGGTGCAGGGGCCCAAGCACTCAGGCCATCCTCTACAGCCTTTCCAGGCCGTAGCAGAGACCTGGATCGGAAGAGGGGCAGCGGGAACATAAACTGGCGCCCATACAGAATGCTGGTGCTGCAGGCGGAGGAGGCTTAACCTACTATGCCACGGCTCTGGCCCCTCACAAAACTTTTTTTCAGCACATGTAACATATGATTGCTTGCTTCTGGTCATTCCCTTTGATGAGTTTGGTAGTGCACCATTCAGACACAACTCACAGCCAGGCATTTGGCCTAGAGGTGAAGACGTGTGCCTCACATCAGGGTGCCTGGCTTCTCCTGCTAGCTCTGGCTGCTGACTCCAGCTTCCTGCTAGTGCAGACAATGGGAGCAGCAGTGATTCCTCAAATCACTGGTGTCCTGCCCCCCATGGGGGAGACCTGGACTGAGTTTCCAACTCTTGGCTTCAACTCTCGGCTATTGGAGGCATTTGGATAGTGAACCAGTGGAAGGGAGTGCTTGCTCTCTCTACCTGTCCATTAAAAAAAAAAAAACAAAAAACAAAAAACACCTCAGTGAAGGTGAGTGAGCCTTCAGGAGGCTTAGCTCATATGATCTGGACCCAGCATTTCCAGGGGAATGGATACAGAGAACTTACTTCAAGCAGTCTTTCTTATTTGTTCAACAAGGCTTTAAATGAAGAGACGATGGTTGTACTCTAGTGATTCTTTGCAGTTGATGTTTCTGTGTTGCTGGTTGAGGGTGGATGCATGTGCTTTCAGAACTAGAACTGGTGTTTAAGTTGATGCTCTGTTTTCCTAGGCTCTTGGGCTCCCTACAGGGAAACCCAGATTTTCTTTCCTGAAGCAATTTTCTTTTTTTTTTTTTTTTTACCTTTTTTTTTTTTTTTTTGACAGAGTTAGATAGTGAGAGAGAGAGAGACAAAGGTCTTCCTTCTGTTGGCTCACCCCCCAAATGGTCGCCATGGCTGGTGCTACACCGATCCAAAGCCAGGAGCCAGATGCCTCTTCCTGGTCTCCCATGGGGTGCAGGGCCCAAGCACTTGGGCCATCCTCCACTGCACTCTCGGGCCACAGCAGAGAGCTGGACTGGAAGAGGAGCAGCCAGGACTAGAACCCGGCGCCTATATGGGATGCCAGCACCGCAGGCGGAGGATTAACCAAGTGAGCCACATTGCTGGCTCCCTCCTGAAGTAATTTTCAACACATGAACTAGTGTTTCATTAATTTTACAAAGGGAATGCCATGAAAGATGGTTAAAATATTTTAGTTGCTTTTCAAAATTTTGTTTATTTGAGAGAGAACAGGTATCACCTGGTGGTTCATCCCCAAATACTGGAGAGCTGGGAACTCAATCCAGGTCTCCCATGTGGGTGGCAGTGACTCAGCTACTTGGGCCATCACTTGCTACTACTTCCCAAGGTCTGCAGTAGTAGGAAGCTTTAATCAGGAGTGGATCGGAGACTTGGACTCAGCCGCCTTTCTGATAAGGGATGTGGGTGTCCCAACTGATTCCTTTTTTTCTTTCTTTTTTTTTTTAAGATTTATTTATTTATTTGAAAGTCAGAGTTACACAGAGAGAGGAGAGGTAGAGAGAGAGAGGGAGAGGTCTTTCATCCGCTGGTTCACTTCCCAACTGGCCACAACAGCCAAAGCTGTGCCAATCCAGAGCCAGGAGCCTCCTCTGGGTCTTCCACGTGGGTGCAGGGGCCCAAGGACTTGGGCCATCTTCCACTGCTTTCCCAGGTCACAGCAGAGAGCTGGATCGAAAGTGGAGCAGCCAGGACTCGAACCGGTGCCCATATGGGATGCCGGTGCTTCAGGCCAGGGCTTTAACCTGCTGCGCCACAGCACTGCCCCCTCAACTGGTTTCTTAACCACTATGCCAAATGCTAGCTCCTAAAGTACTTTAGTTTTGAAAAATGTTGAAGTAGATAGTATCCACTCTATGACACTATACAAAGCCAAGCCTTAGTAATTTCTTCTATGCATTACCTAATAATTGTAATATGGATTTTTAGTTATAAAATGTAAAACATAGTTAAACAGAATTAAGTGTACTCTTATATGGAGTAGCTATATAGTGTTATTTAATATGAGCCAGTTAAACATTTCAAGAATTTTTGCCAGTGAAAATTATTTTTGCCCTATGATGCTGTTCTTTCCAAATAAGAACCAATTTAAGTAGAACCAATTATCCATTTAGGTCATTTCTGGCTTGAGAAAAGAAAACATTATCACCTGATAGGAGGAAACTTTTCTTTTTTCTTTTTTTTAAATTTCAGGGAAATATATAATGATTTTTTTTCCTGGTAGCAGGTACAAGTGGTCAAGTTTCTACCTTACGGAGATCTGAAGAGGACGATATGGCTTTCTTTGAAAGGCAATACCAGGAAAGGGTACGTTTGAAAAAATCTACTTGCATTAAACATTTGCTTGTAGCAAAAACGCTGTAGAATCACTATATGTGGAATAGGGGACATCATTAAAACTAATTTATAAAGTCTTACAGCTGGTGTTAGGTCTGAGGCTTAGAATAATTTAGACATAAATAGCATGAAGGAATAATATGATATATGAAAGCACTCAACAGTTCATGGCAAAATGGAATTAGAAGATAGTGTGAATTTTCTGTGAACTTTTAAAGTACCCTTGTATAGTACACTGATTGATTTATGAAGGTCATCAACATTACATACACAGATATAGTGATCAATAATCAATATCAGCCATCAGATTTGTAAATTATCTGTATCTTGAATTTTTTTAAAACACACGTACCTTTTTAAATTTAAAAATATTTAGTTGTCAAATAAAGACAGTATATTTTGAATTTTTGATAGGCAGTGTTTCTTCTTCTTAGAGACTGTTGGGTATATCCAGACTCAGAAATCACTCAGTAGTCTTTAAGGAAGAGAACACTAAAGAGAAACATATTTTAACAATTCCCAGGACTCAACAACTATAGTCTTGATGTGTTCACAGCTTTTGGTAATGGTCATTTCTGTCAGTTCCTTACCACATTGTAAATGCCTTGGGGATAAACATAGTATTTTATTCATTTTTGGTTTTTCCCTGGTACCTAGTTCAGTACCTTTGTAATAAGTTTCCAATAACTATTTATGGAAAATTGAGAAACATTAACACAAAAGTAATTGATATCCTCTTCCATAAATGTCAACGACTTATACTTTTGATAAGTTTCAAGGCAATATTTCTATTTGAGAGTTTTGTTTTTGCTCTTTGCTAGGTGAAAGAACGTTGACTTGCTGAGGTGTGAGGAATGGTATTTCAGCTGTCTGGCTGAAAGTGCTTTCTTGAGGATTATTTTGTAGTTGCTTTGCGGGCATGAAAGGAAGGACACTTCTGTCACTTTTTGTTGTGTCCTCTTCCAGGCTGACAATCGCTCATCAAATCACTGAAGGTGTGAGAAGGGCAGAACAGGCCGGCGCCGTGGCTCAATAGGCTAATCCTCCACCTTGCGGCGCCGGCACACCGGGTTCTAGTCCCGGTTGGGGCGCCGGATTCTGTCCCGGTTGCCCCTCTTCCAGGCCAGCTCTCTGCTATGGCCAGGGAGTGCAGTGGAGGATGGCCCAGGTGCTTGGGCCCTGCACCCCATGGGAGACCAGGAAAAGCACCTGGCTCCTGGCTCCTGCCAGGATCAGCGCGGTGCGCCGGCTGCAGCGGCGGCCATTGGAGGGTGAACCAGCGGCAAAGGAAGACCTTTCTCTCTCTGTCTCTCTCTCTCACTGTCCACTCTGCCTGTCAAAAAAAAAAAAAAAAAGGGCAGAACACGAAGTACATTTGCCATACAGAAGCAGAGGGAGTGAGTAGGAGACAGAGAGGCCACCGATTTGGTGGCTGGTGAGGGCCGCAGTAGGTGCCTCCTCGCAGTGGGGTGACAGCTCTCTGGGACCGCCACTCTGATTCAGGAGGGCTCTGCTTTCTTTTATTTTTGGCTCTGCTTTCTGATCACCTCCCAGGAGCTCCACCTCTTAATACCATCACCTTGTTGATTAAGCTTTAGCATGTGAATTTGGGAGGACACAAGCACGCAGACCGTAGCAAAGAGAAGAGGTAGTCAGACAAGTGGAAGAGAGCTCAATGGTCAGAGCAGCGAAAGAAAGGACTGTTTTTGTAGCAGCAGCATCGTGGGTGGGACTTACACTCCTATCAGTCTCCATTCTTGGAAAATACCCGCTCTAGGTGTACACATTTTTGGAACATACATAGCTGAATTTAAGTTTTTCCTCATAGTCTTATGCATGACTAGGTTCTGGGGCCTGCATTCCTCTCCAGAAGCCTGAGAAGTGATAATTGCCTTGAAAATGTGTTAACGATATTTGCTTGTGGGAAGATAATGAAAAGAGTTCTCTGTCAGTGCTTTCAAGGGCCTACCTTGTCTGTTATAAACAAATCTGGAATTGCTGGATTTGTGAAATGTAGTTTATACCTTTCCGTCCCATGTGATTTATGAGTGGCAGCTTACCAACTCCCTAGCCTGTGTGGTTAATGGAGTGTAAACTAGAGCCAAGCCTGATGGCTTCTCAGAGCTGACCCATCCCCTATTCACTGCTGGGATAGTCCCTCTCCAGAACCACTGAAGGGAGGAGGATTGTCGGGAAGCTGCATCTGATGGCTCAGTGCCTCCCGCAAGAGCAGTGCTCAACGTGCATCTGCTTTTTGCTTGTATCTGTAGCAAAATCCATGGGCAACCTTTGGCATAGGGGACGAATCTGTGAAAAGTATAAGCTGACTTTGATAACTGCAGCCTTTGTGGTAGTTTACCCATTACTTTTAGACACAATTTTAAAGTTGCTTTTTTTTTTTTTTTAAAAAAAGACATTTATTTATTTGAAAGGCAGAGCAACACAGAGGGAAAAGCAGGGAGATATGTCTTTCATCTGCTGTTTCACTTCTGGGCCAGGCTGAAGCCAAGAACCAAGAGCCAAGAACTCCATCTTGATCTCCCACAAGGGTGGCAGGAGCCCAAATAGTTGGGCCACCTGCTTTCTCAGGTGCATGAACAGGGAGCTGGATCAGAAGTGGAGCAGCCAGGATCCAGACTGGCACAGGCACTCTGATATGGGATGGTGGTGTTGCACGAGGTGATTTAATGTGCTGCATCACAATGCTGGCTCCATTATATGGCTTCTTTTATGTATCATATCACATTACTACAAATCTAACATGTAATTTATATATTGGAAGGGAAAAGGGATTAACATTTGAGTGCTTTCTCAGTGTCTAGATCTTTATATATGACGGGGTCTTCAAAATGCTCATGGAAAAGTGTACTATTAAAAAAACCTGCATGGGCTAAAGTTTTTTTGTACCCAATAAACTTATCTTTTAATTGCATTTTCCACAAATGTTTTGAAGTACCTTGTATATTATTTATACCTTAAGAACAACCCTGAGAGGTAGCTATTACTGTGACCTTTTTTACAAATGAAAAACTATGGATTAAATAACTTGTCTAAAATGCTAATACAAGAGTCCAGGTAGGATTCAAATGCTCTTCTGTTAGACTCCAAAACCCATCACCTTTGCCTAAGAATAGGGGATCCTTTGGGGGTCCTTCATGTGACATCTTGGCTGCAGGAGTGATGAGTGTGTGGTTTCCGAATGGGATTCCAAAACAACTCAAAGAGGAGAGTGAGTGAGATAAAACATGAGGAAGAAACAGAGGTTGGAGTCATCTGATTTTATTACTGGGAATTTTTTACTTACAATTTGATGGGGTTGGGAAGACTGATTTTGCTAGGCTCCTGTCGCTCTAGAAGGTAGGAGGCCGTGCCTCTGCCTACTGTGCCGTTAGTTTTTCCCCTTTCTCTATCAAGGGTAAGGCAGTGTTGCTGCCATTGGGAAGATTTCTTGTGATTGAGGGGTGGTGAGGAAGAAGCAGGTGGACTTTCTTCTTCTTTGGGGTCCTTAAGCCCATAGCAGAAGTGCAGAGGTGTCTGGAAAGTCGGAAGGCCACTGCTTAGGCGTGTGTGCAGCTGCTTTGTGTTAACCTCGGTGGAGGAGGTAGTGTGGGACTCAAGCCTGCCCTCCAGTGTGAGATGCTGGTGTTGCAAGCACCGCTGCACCTGCTGCCTCACGACGCCTGGCCCCTAGGACAGGAATTCAAATGAGGTGTGTGCAGCCTTCCTTTCTTCACAGTGCTTTACAAATGATTATGTCAGTGGATGCTTTAAACTTACAGGTGAAAATGGAAAAGGCTGCTAAGCAGAAAGGCCAAGCTCCACTGCCATCAACTACAAGGCCACAATGAACACAACTGGGCAAATCGCAGCCGGCATCTGAACTGTCCTTTCATGTAATAATATTGTTCATTTTCTCTTGAATTAATTTCTTTTTTTACTGTATAAATATATCTTTTTAGATGTTTAATTTATTTAAATAAGTGAAAGTACCTTATATTATTTTTGTCAAAATTTTATCACTTTACACTTTGTATATGCTTTTGCTCTTTCCTAACAGATGAGGTTGTTTTCACAGGAGGCAAACCCTGAAAATACAGTAAATATGTTTAAGTCTATCAAAATTTAATTTTTCAGGCTATCTAAAAATTAAAGCTGTTATTTGAAAATATGTAAGGGCCACTTTGCCATCTAAAATAGTAAGTTGAAATTGTTATTTTTTTTTATTGCTCAAGCTTTGTAATGCTGGTTTTTGATGTATGTTTTTATAAATAAACATGTACTTTGAAGCTACACAACCGTTTTATAGTGATACGTGGTCATTTGCAGTGTGACTGGACCGGATCCTCTCATGTGCCACTCAGGTCCGTACGGCCCCACTGCTTCCTGCAGCACTGCTGTGAGACGCTTTGAAGCCGGCTCTGACAGCTTCACATGGAGGCCGTTTGATGCCGTCTGTCTGGGGCCCACGTCCGGCTCTCTTGATTGTTTTGCAGGGATCTTCTGACACGGTGGCTTGGGGTGCCCACTGGGTCATCACTTGCAGCCCAAAGATGTGGGAGAGCTCATGACCTTGAGGCCATCCTTGATTAATGGTAGGTGGTAGTCCAGAAATTCATGCTCTCCCTGGGAAGGTAATTCCGAGATGCCTTTTCTAAGCTTCTTCAGAAAATCTTGTAGGATTGAGCACCAGTCACCCATAGCGGTGACCCAATAATATGAGGGTACTTCAAAGAGCTTGTGGAAAAGTGGAATTAAAAGATGAGTTTAGGGGTTGTTGCTGTGGTGTAGTGGGTAAAGCTGCTGCCTGTGGTGCTGGCATACCATATGGGCACCAGTTCGAGTCACGGCTGCTCGGCTTCCAGTCCAGCTCCCTGCTAGTGCACTTGCGAAGGCAGTGGGAGATGGCCCAAGTGCCTGGGTACCTACAAGCGTAAGGAGCTTCTGGCTGTTGGTTTCAGATCAGCCCAGCTCCTGCCATTGTGGCCATTTGGGGAGCGAACCAGCAGATAGAAGATATCTTTCTCTTTCTCTCTTTCTGTAACTCTGCCTTTCAAATAAATAAAATAAAAAAATTTTATTTTGGGGCCCAAAATTTTTGAAATCTTTACAGTTTTTTCATAGTTGCATTTTTCATGAACTTTTTGAAGAGCCTTCATATACATGGATTTCAGAACTTTTTGTACCAAAATAAGCTTTTTAAATTTTTTTATTTTTATCTGAAGGGCAGAACATGAGGCAGGGGAGAAATCTCTTCCATCTACTGGTTCACTTCCTAAATGGCTGCCCCAGCCAGATCTGAACCAGGCTGAAGCCAGAAACAACGAGCTCCATCCTGGTCTCTCACATGGGTGGCAGGGGCTCAAGGAGTTGTTCCATCTTTCACTTCTTTCACTGCCTTCTTGGACATATTAGTAGGAAGCTGGGTCAGAAGTGGAGCAGCTGGATTAGAACTGGTATTTCCAGTATGGGGTGTTGGTGTCACAGGCAGCAGCTTAAACCCACTGCACCACAATGCCAGCCCCTTAAACTTATCTTTTAATTCCATTTTCCATGAACATTTTGAGGTATCCATGTATATCCTTATTTTGCTCTTCTCTTTCTCCATTTTCCACTACCCCATCACTCCCTCTGGTTCCTTCTGATCACACAAATTACCTGTGTGTGAACACTGATCTTAGACTTTGCTTTTGGGTGTGGAGTAGACTCAGGAGAGAATGATTGCTTCTAAAATGGCCTTAGAAAGCAAATTCTTGGAAGCCAGTGGGTTAATCCTCTGCCTGTTGCACTGACATCCCTTATGGGTGCTGGATCTAGTCCTGGCTGCTCCTCTTCTGATCCAGCTCTCTGCTATGGCCTGGGAAAGCAGTAGAAGATGGTCTAAGTCCTTGGGCCCCTGCACCCGCGTGGGAGACCTGGAAGAAGCTCCTGGCTCCTGGCTTCAGATTGGCGCAGCTCAGGCCATTGTGGCCATTTGGGGAGTGAACCAGTGTATTGGAAGACCTTTCTGTGTCTCTCCTTCTCACTGTCTGTAACTCTACCTCTCAAATAAATAAATAAAATTAAAAAAAAAAAAAGCAAACTCTCAGGATGGGATTCTAAGACTAGGTCAGTTACTTCAGCAGACGTGGATAAAAAGGAGGAAGGGAGGCATTTGCTTGTGTGGTCACTGTATCCTTTCAGTGGAATGGGACTAACAAGGACCGAGGTGTTGGTTAGTGATTGTTAATTGCCTGCGAAATCTTGTGAAAAGAAAATGATATGCATTCCTGTTTGGCCACATAATTCAAGGTATTCCGTGAAAGCCAGAGTCCCTCCATAGCACCCTTTAAGGAAAATCTCATCTACAAATGCAAGGAAGACCGCCAGCCATCAGGTGCACATCTAACAGAGAAGGCGGCAGGGCCGTGCAGGGGTTACATACACAGCCGTGGCAGTCTCATCCTCCCCGAAAGTCAGCTTGTGACAGGCAACAGGGGAGCACGGACAGAGAAATGGGACACTTGTATTGGTGGGCCTGGAAGCTCGAACCCTTAGGTGCCCTTGGACTTGTGAGCTGGCATAACAACATCTTGTAGTTTTCTGGCGAGGGGCAGCCTGCTCGCGCCCTGAGTTGCTGCAGAGGTGCTACGTGAGGCAGTCGCATCACAGGATGACACTTCTTAGCTCTGGATCAGTAACTCCTGATGCTGGGCGTCACAGTCCCAGGCGGGGAAGTTCAAGGTGACTTCAAAAGGCTCGTGGAAAATGGAATTAAAAAGTAAGTTTATTTTTGTATAAAACAATTTTAAAGCCCAGTGACAATTCTTTCATTATACATGTTTTGAATGAATTTTTGGAGGATCCCTCACACAGCCCTTCATCAAGGTGGATGGGTTACACCATGAATGAACTGCAGATTCTAGTAATGCAGGAGTCTAGGAAACAAGTGTGGGAGGAGATCTTGAAATGTTGGGTTGGGGCCAGTGCTGTGGCACAGCAGGTTAACGCCCTGGCCTGAAGTACTGACATCCCATATGGGCACCGATTCAAGTCCTGGCTGCTCCACTTCCGATCCAGCTCTCTGCTATGGCCTGGGAAAGCAGTGGAAGATGACCCAGGTCCTTGGGCCCCTGCACCCGCGTGGGAGACCCAGAGGAAACTCCAGGCTCCTGGCTTCAGATTGGCGCAGCTCCAGCCGTTGCGGCCATCTGGGGAGTGAACCATCGGGTGGAAGACCTCTTTCTCTCTCTGACTCTCCTCTCTCTGTGTAACTCTGATTTTTAAATAAATAAATAAGTCTTTTTTTTTTTTTAAAGAAAAAAGTGTTGGGTGGAAGATAAAGCTTGATGGGAGAGTGACATAGGAGCACTCACGATGCTTCATGTTAATGTCCTGACAAGACTATGTGGAGCTGTCCCAGTGCACTGCAAGCATGGTGTATAGAAGATATGGTGAATGTGCCAGCATGGTGGTGTAGAGGGTAAAGCTGCTGCCTCCGATGTTGGGATCCCATTTGGCTGCCCATTTTGGTCGTGGCTACTCCTCTTATGACCCAGTTCCCTGCTAATGGCCTGGGAAAGCAGCAGAAGAAGGCCCAAGTACTTGGGCCCTTTCCACCCATGTGGGAGACCAAGATGCAGCTTCTGGCTCCTGGCTTTCACCTGGCTCAGCTCCAGCCATTTTGCCATCTGGGGAGTAAACCAGTGAATGGACGAGCTCTTTCTTGGTCTCCCTTTCTCTCTGTAACTCTTGACTTTCAAATAAACAAATAAATCTTAAAAAAAAAATAAAAAGAAGATACAGTGTATGATACAGAGGCTGTTCTGTATATTATTGAGGACAGGGTCAGAAAACTGAGGGACAGCTGGTTAGAATATTATTTGATTTATATACTTAGCTTCCCACTACCACCACCACCACCAAATGTTGAGAACTGGCAAGCAGAAGCTGATATCTACCATGGTAATAAAAACCACTAGCTCTCTCTCTCTCTTCCTCTCCATCTCCTGACCTCTGTCTCTGTCTCTCTCTCTTACACTCTCCTTCTTCTTCTTTTCCTTTTTTTGCCCTACAGTCTGTCAGGTTTCCTCCAATAAACCCTTTCACTTAAAAAAAAAAAAAACCACTAGAAATGAAGAGCAAATGAAAACTAAAATAAATGGGAGAAAGTAAATATTAAAGAGCAGAGTATAGGTTGAAATGGAAAACAAAAACAATAGAGAACAATCAATAAAACTGAAGATTGACTGGGAAGATCAATAAAATGGATAAAACTCTAGCCTGACTGGTCGGTGATAGAAGACACAAACTGCCAGTGTTGGGAATGAGAGGGGTGACCTCACTATAGATTCTGCAGACACTCTGTGGATACTAGGGGACATTGACCATGTACATGTAAGTCTGTTTCTACACTTTCTGTTCTGTTACTTGGATCTGTTTGCTTCCTCTAGATGAACACCACACTATTTTGATTATTATAGTTTTATAGTATGCCTTGAAGACAAGTACTATAAACCTAACTTTGTGGGTTGTTATTTGTTTCAAAGTTGTTTTAGCGTTGTGGTTCCACAAAAATTATAGAATCAACTTGTCATTGTCTATAAACATGCATACATGAACGTACACACACATACACACATACAGACAGCTACTGTTTTGTTTGGGATTGCATTGAATCTGCACACCGATTGGCAGAGAATTGACACCTTAACTATGCTGACTTTTCTGATTTATGAACATAGCATCTAACTCATTTAGGTCTTATTTTTTCCTTTTAAAACAATTTATTTATTTA